CTGCTTATAAACTCAATTTTCCATGAATCTCGTACATTCATAACTGCTCTGGCGTGTCAATGTAAACAAATGACGTCATATATTAAGAAATGGACATGGTCCGACAATTTATTTATTAAAGACATATTTTTTTATGTTTAACGTTGTTATTTCATAGATACAAGTATTTAAGCAAATGCTCTGTTTATGATAAACAGTATTAAATAACATTTACCGGCCTGAATGTCCGAGAAATTTTCATAGAAAATTTTATAGACAAATTGAACCTGCATCCTATATGGAACCGTCATATCGCTGGCGTGCCTTACCGCAAGCTACAAAAAAACCAATCGGTAACAAGGTCAATTTACTGTTATAAACTCAATTTTCCATGAATCTCGTACATTCATAACTGCTCTGGCGTGTCGAATGTAAACAAATGGCGTCATATATTAAGAAATGGACAAGGTCCGACAATTTATTTATTAAAGACATTCAGGCGGTAAATGTTATTTAATACTGTTTATCATAAACAGAGCATTTGCTTAAATACTTGTATCTATGAAATAACAACGTTAAACATAAAATATGTCTTTAATAAATAAATTGTCGGACCTTGTCCATTTCTTAATATATGACGTCATTTGTTTACATTCGATATGCCAGAGCAGTTATGAATGTACGAGATTCATGGAAAATTGGAGTTTATAAACGTTAAATTGACCTTGTCTACCGATTGGTTCTTTGTAGCTTAAGCGGTAAATACGCCAGCGTATATGATTTAAGTTCAGATAGGATGCAGGTTGTCCATTTTTAATATATATATATATATATATATATATATACTGTGGATCAAAAGCTTATCTATTAATTATATATATATATATATATATACACACATACAATAAACAACAAAATTATTCATACACCCATCAATTTTGAATATTTTTATCTATTTTTCAGAATCTAATGCCTCTATGATGCCAGGTTTTTTGTATGTTAATAAGCAAAAAAAAAAAAAATGAATGTAAAACTCAATTTTCAGAACACAGGGTTAAATACAACAGGTGAATTATGCAAAATAGGAAAAGACAAAATTATTCGTAGAGTAGAAAATGTCATTTTAAATTGATTGATTTATGCAAGTATAAGTAATTTACATAATTATTTTATCTGTGACACCTTCTAGACTATTTATTCAGTAGAATATTTGCGATAATTAGTGTCATCATTGTTATTCTTATGTTAGCAATATGATGGGGAAGACAAAGGAGCTTAGTGTTGACTTGAGACAGAGAATTATTAACTTGTACAAGTCAGGAAATAGTTACAGCACTATTTCAAACCAGTTAGCTATCCCTAGATCTATGATACAATCCATTATAAAGAAGTTTAAACAGTTTGGCACTACAGAGAATTTGCCTGGCACAAGAAGGGTGAGGCTTTTCTCCCAAAGAACACAGTTGCAACATTAATGATGCTCTGGAGCTTTTAGCTCAAGGGGTACTGGACAATTAATTGCAATAATAGGCATAATGAAATCTGTAGACTATATCAAAATTCTGGAATAAAATCTACAACTATCAGCGCAAGATATTCACCTGGGTTGGCATTTTACTTTGCAGCAAGATAATGATCCCAAACATACGTCTAAATCAGTGACTGCATGGCTTCAGCAAAAGAAGATTACAGTTCTGCCCTGGCCTTCAATGAGTCCTGACTTGAATCCTATTGAAAATCTATGGCAAGAATTGAAAGTTCAAATAAATTGTCTGTCACCAAAAGATCTTCAGGAATTAGGATGTGTAACCATTGAAGAATGGAAAAAAATCCCAGAAAGACTAGTTCAAATCTATCAAAAACTTTAGAAAACAAGTTATAAAGATGAGTCCATGCTATTGACTATTAATATTGTGAAAATTGTTCAATTTTTTTCTATTTTTCATACAGTATGAATAATTTTGTCTTTTCCTATTTGCATAATTTGCCTGTCAAATTTGTTGTAATCAATCTATTCTGAAAATTGAGTTTTATATTCCTTTTTGTTGTGCTTATTAACATATAAAAAAAACTGGCATCACACATCACCTTCTGAGAAATGGATAAAAATATTCAAAATTGGTGGGTGTACGAATAATTTTGTCATTTATATATATATATATATATATATATATATATATATATACATACATACACACACATAAAATTAACATTTTTCTTTTATTTACCTACTGACAGTGATATAAATGGGTAAATAAAAGAAAAATGTTATTTTTTTATATGTATTAGAAAGCTATTTTAAAAGAATTTAAAATAGAGCACTCTTATGTATATAAGAGTGCTCTATTTTAAATTCTTTTACATGAGAAACTAGTATAGCCTTATGGATGAAGGTGTTGGTTTGTGAATTTGGTAACATTGGAATCATGATTTCAATTCCTGGGCCAGGCAGAGTGTACTTGAACTCAATAGAAACTGGGCAAGCAGTACTAAAAATAAGATCTAGATGAGATATCTTGTAAAATATGGCAAGAGTGTGTTGAGGTTGGGGATGGGTGGAAACCCCTAAACGGTTGCTTTCTCAACAACTATTGAGTAACAGGCAGAGAAGGGAAAAAGATTGGAGAAAATAAAAACAACAGTCACATAAATCTCAGCATGGTGAGTGGCATGCAACTTGAGAAACAAAATCTCTAAAGGACAGACTTCACATGACACTGTCTTGCCCTCTGCTAACTGCTGGGTTTTCCCATCATTTTTATTGATAGACAGAAACTTGGATCGTGACAAGTTGCAGTGAGGCCTGTATCTGAACATGCCAAGCCGAGTAAACCCAAATGTAACTGCTTTTGACAGACATGTCTGCATGCGATTTGGGGCCTCTTTTGAGTCTTTACTGACATGCATTCACCACAATATGCCCAGACATGGGCAGTGGAATGAGAAGTTTGCCTCGTACAATAGTCCAAATCCAAATAACAAGAAAAGGAATATACAAATAATATATATTGTTTAAAATATACTATATTTATAGGGGAAGAAAGCTCAATATCAATTATTTATAGATATAGACAATGTAGACATAGAATTCAACATTGGATGATAACTGTCAGTTTCATGCTTCAGTCAGATCTTCAGACCAAATCTATGTCCACCTTAATTGTATATTTGGGCAGTAATCCCATTTGTACAAGCTTCATTAAAGAGGACTGACAATGAACCCTTTTTATTCAATTGTTTGTATAAGTGTTTTCTTATCTGAACATAAAATGTGTAAAAACTGTTCAAATGTTCTAAATATCCGAGTGCTTTCAGCTATTCTATTAGCCATTATCAAGGATGATTTATTTATTTATTTTTTATTTTTTTTAACTGAATATTTAGATTTTTTGCATATGTGTATCTATAGTGATGGGAATTTTCTAAACATGGTCAGCACATTGAAGGCCATGTTCATAGTTGATATTATTCAGTGTTGACTTTTTTATTATTAATGCTTCTATTATTTTTAGCTTTTTTCGTACACGTGGATGAGGCTATTCTAGTTCTACAGAATTTGATAGGTTTCCATGTGTGTTTAAATGTGACCTAATTGAGCTATTGTCAGAGATGTAATGGGAGTCTTCTTGATAGGTATGTAGTGATATGTCCGATATAATCACGAATTTGGTTTGATTGTGAACACCATTCCTTAAGGGGTGTATAAATTCATATATAATATTAGTCCTTTGTGATTTGGATCTTGCAGGTGGGTTGTTATTGACAATGAGGTTAGCTGTTTGAAATATTTTTATAATAGATAATTTAATTTTCTTGTTCTGAACAACTGGAGTTGTGAATTTCTTCATAATATTTCTAAAGGAAAATTCGTCCTGCTTATGAAATCAAATTTACAATTCATCAAATTATAAGAAAATAAAGCAATAAAATTTTCTTCAGAAATTTTTGTTTGTAATTGAAATTAAATAGATTTGCTTTGAATGTTGGTTTTTCTCTTAAAATCCATTTTATTACACTGTTGATTGTGGAAACTGGGCCGAGTTCTAATTCTGGTTCAGTCTGTTGCATTCTCTTTACATTAATGCTTCTAGGAAAGGCAGGTATGCATGTCTTCTCACATTAGTTGTAGGTTAAATAGCAGGGCAGACTGGGTTCTCTAGCCTTGGTTGGCAACCATTCTAGAAGAAAATCTCTGGTTGAGCATACATGTACTACTGTGAAGTGTGAGAAGATCATTGGAAGTTTATTAATCCTCCACTGACTACCTTGGACCCCATTCTGCCACTCTTCCTGGGGTGAGGGGATGTCGAGACTTGTGCAAACCCTGAACCACCTAGAGAGAGTTGATCCTCAATCTTCAGGATGTATAGCAATAATAATGTGTTACTTGAAAATAAAAGTGTTTAAATGAATTTCATAAACACTGAATTATTATTATTATTATATGATCATGCATTGGTTTTCATTTTTATTAGATTGAAATTCTCAAATGACTTTTTTGTCTTAATTCTCTAACTTTATTAGAGTTGTTATTGTAATGCTTTGATTATAGTTGAAGAAACTCTAATTTCCTCAGATTTCCTTCTGTCTAAGTAATATGGTGACTTACCTATCCACAATTAGTAATATTACCTATCCACAATTAGTAATATTACCTATCCACAATTAGTAATATTACCTGTCCACTATTAAACACTGAATGGAACATTAATCATTTTTTTTTTTTTATCAAGATTATTTTAATAAAAATGATGAAAGAAGGAATGTTGCCAATGAATATTTTTTTTCTTTTTTAATAATTGGTTGAAACCTTATTAGTGGCAGAGTTCAATAAACGTATTATGTTTGTGTCTGACAGTTAAGAACTATTATGAAAATAATCTTCTCTTGTCCTTTTTTGATATTGATTTAAATATCAATTTATTGTTTCTAGCAATCCTGAGTTCATTTTTCTCACATGTGTTTAATTTCAATGTATACAATAAAGACGTTTATTGAAAAAAAATCTTCTAGAAAAGAAAATGTTTGGCCACTTTTCAGATGAGGGCATTTTTCTGAAAAGTATGTTTTTTTTTCGTTATAAACTTAATTTTCATATTTGCATTGATTTCTCTCTCTCTCTCTCTCTCTCTCTCTATCTATCTATATCTGTATCCATCTATATATGTCTGTCTATCTGTCTCTCTCTATCATACTTTTAAAGAAACTTTTTAGTCATCAAGATGAAAACAAATGTTAAAGCATTTATAGGAAAGTAAACTTTAATAAATCATACATTCTTTTGTGATTAAAGTAACTTTTGGCATTTCTCCAGGGGCCATAACAAACAAAAACGAAATATGTCTTCTATCCATATCAAGCATTCATTTTAATTATAGAATCTCACCAGAATATGAACAATTTCAATATCATTTGAATGCTTTATGCAAATTCATATCCCTGTTCTTTATATTATTTAGAATGACACTGATGGGGAGGGGGAGAGTTTGAAGAGATGAGTATTATCATGAGGAACTGATTTTTATCTCAAGATGACTTATAAAATTTTATTTATAAGCTATCTTTTAGTGATGATAATAATGAAAAATTCACTAACCACAATTGTTTTTCTTCAGCTTGAGTGAATAAAACATTAACATGAACAGTAAAGTGTGAATAAAACAGTAACATGAACTCTCTACACATCATTTATTACAAGATAACCTTCAAAAGTATCTAACTATGGTTGTAATGAGTGAAATTGGCATAACAGTTTAAAAGGTATGAGAACTTATTTACACTTGAAGCAAAAGCTGTAGAATATATACTGTTTGTCTGTAGTTTATAACTGTACTGTTCAGGAGTTTAATATTTATTTTTTTTAATTTGTTTTGGTTTTGTTTTTAATCAGATGTGTTGTACACAAAGATCCATTTTATCAAAGAAGACAGGTTAAGCATTAATCATAACCAACTGAGAACCTGTGTTAAATTTATTCAACTTCAAACTGGTCAGGTTAAAGTTCTTCTGTATTGAATGAAAAAAAAAATGACTAATGTTAGAGAAATGGCTACTCTGTGAATTCAATGAATGAAACAAACAGGAAATAATGCTGCAAAGACTTTTTGGGTTACTTAATATTTTCATAATAATTTTGTTCATATATTCTCTGAGCTTTTAATGAAGACTACTTAAACGACACTACTTAAATAGACTGGCCCACTCATGAAAATTTCTTGGAAATACTTTTTGCTAATTCTCATTCTTTAGACCTTCCTGAGACTTGTCAGAATTGAGAAATATTTGTTATCAATTTAAAAGTAGGGGTCCTGTTTATAATATCAATACAGTATCAAATTGATCCCTGACTTTTGTAGAGTTATTAGCCTAAGCTGTTTTGCATATGAAAATAGACTTTTTTCATTTGGGGTTACAAAAAGAGTTATCTTAAATACTCTTAAACAGATATATAATCATCCACCCGCATCAGGATCGTCATCATTTCTTATTCTTTTTCTCTCCTCTGGTGGTGGTGGTGGTGGCAGAGATGGCTGTGAAGGCCCAGTCTACTCCTGAAGAGTCGTGAGCAGGAGTCACAGAAGTGTGGGTGGTGGACGAGTCTGGCCCTCCTGACCACATGTTGCAGATTCTCTTCATATTGGCGGTTGGACTTGAAAGTTTTGAACTCCCCCACTTCAGATGGTCCTATATTAGGAAGGCTAATTATTCAAAGAGAATTTGATGAGGCGGCCATTCACGTGAATTTGATTTTTTGTGGGCAAGGGAATTGAGACGGCAAGATCTGGCAAACCTAGTTTGCATCAGACTGTCAGATGCTCAGTCTACTCTCTCCTAAATAGATATTTACATTTTTAAGTAAAGAACAAAAATTTGCATAAATTAATAAAATTATGTATCCATTTATTTTTAATTTAAGGTAAATAATTATGAAACTCAAATGTTTGTGTATGTAACTCTAACAAAAATTACACACAAAAAAAGTTTTTAAAAATAGTTTAACAAAAAAATTGAATGCCAAAAAAAAAAAAAATACACATGTTAACAGATTTTCTAACTTGAATTTTATAAATAACAGCTGAGTCACCTTGATCTGGTGTAATGGTTAGCAAGCTTGTCTTGCTAAATCAATTATGGCTGAATAGTGAGTTCAATTCCTACTGGATGCCTCATACTTTTGTCCTTGTGGCACATCTAAAATACTCTTAGAAAATCACTATAAATAACAGCTGACTTAGTCTAAGGCCAGCAATTTATAAACAGGGCCCTATCTTCTAAATTGATAACTAATCATTTTTTTTTATTCTGACAAGTGTCATGACCAAAGGAAGGTCCAAAGTATACTAATCCGCAAAAATTATTACTCCTACCACATTTTTTTTTTTTTTTTTTGTTAATGGACGAGTCTATTCAAATAGTGGCAACAAAACAAAAACAAACTCTGGTAACTAATCTTGGGTTTTCTTGATTCTTGTAAATATTTTCTTTTTCAGAAGACCAAAATTTTCTTTAAGGAATTTTGTTTTAGAACTCCATTAAAAACTAACTTTGCCATTTTTTTTTCTTTCTTTCAATTTGTCCTTAGAATCTCTCCTGAATCTAAAATATTATTATTCACTGATTTGACTAATAGGAATCTGGACATTTAATCTCAAGAAAGTACAACTATAAAATCCAGCCTGCTGAGCCTGATGAATCTTCAGATTCAGAGCCTTCTCCAGTTCCAGTTCCAGTTAAGACCAGTTTTATTTATCTGCCATTTTGATTCCCACCTTTGACTTTGCTCAGCACGAAAGACCCACTTTGTTCACACAGGGATCCAACATCTTAATAAAATCCAACCTTTACCCTCGAAATGTGCCTTAACCCACAGTTTCTAACATATTTTCCCTCTAAATGTTTTTATTTTATGAGAAACAATCTCTTTAATTTGCAATTTCATTGTGATCTCTCTTGAATTTATTAAATCTAATCTTTATTATCTCTCTGAACTATTTCGCTAAAATGGAACAACAAATATAATGCAATAAAGAAAATGGTGAGTTCAACTCATCAGTGAACAATTTACTGATTTTAAAGACTTTGTACTGATGACATCTTATCTATCTCTGTAGGTTTCTATCTTTAAAAAATCTTTGAGGAATTTGATTCAAAACTCGTCACTTCATTGTATCAATCTAGTAAGTGTCTGACTCCTCCAGCTCTACTCTCTTTACAAGAATCAGATCAGACCAAAAATGGAGTATTGTTGCCGTGTCTGGGCTGGAGCCGTCCAGTCCTCGCTTGCTTGCTTTGAGTTCAAAAGTCTTTACATGGCCTTGTGGGTGATGAATTATTTTCCACTATACAGCCCCTTTCCCACAAGATGAACTGTTACCATGCTCTTGTTACTCTATGGCTATTTCCATGTCAAGTTTTTTGACGAGTTATATTTTTTGGTCCCACCAGCACTGACCTTTTCAACTGGGACCTGCCATACTACATAGACAAGGATGAATCATGTTCATTCCTTTCATATTACATTAGTAAGAAGTTCCGCTTGGACAGCTTCTTCCCAAAATATGCTGCAGGATGTTTTCCTAATCATTATAATCTTGACTTCTTCAAATCTAGGATGAACAGTTATCTCCCCTGCATAACTCCATGAACTTCACTTCTTGCCTTTTTTTTATGCTCATGCAATACCACACAGTAACCTTCTACCTTGAGTGACGCTTGAGCCTTGTATTTGTTGTACAATGGGTTAATGTGCACTTGTTAAGACCTGGAATAATTAATTCTGCTATTTTCCTGCTATTATGTGAGCATCACCTCACTTCCACTTGATGTGTTGCTATCCCCATGAGTAATCTCCCTGCTTTTTATGTAGCTAAGGATTAGAATTAGTATTGCTTGTAACTAGTTGCCTGACTTTTTCTCTGTATTGTTAGCTACTAATATTTTCTTTCTCCAAGTATGCTTGCATCCGTCCACATATGTTTCATTATTAACAAAATTATTCTCTTTTTGTCTCTTGAAGTCTTTAATGCCTGGTACCTAATATTTTTCCAAGAAATTGCTCTCTATTAAGAACACTCTGTTGAATGGAAAATATTTCTTGATCATCCTGAGTGACTGTCAGTAATCCATTTTCTCTGTGTTGTGTTATTGATTTGGAGTATTGTAATATTTTATTCATTAAAAAAAATGAATCGAGTAGAAATTCAGTTTTAAAACTTTGAAAAATCTGGTTCTTTTTACTCTCCATTTGCAAAATGTTAATTTCTCTGATGCCAATTTATGTTTGATATGGTATTAGCCTATGACTGCTGGAATTATGTTCCCCTTTTCTTTTCTTGTAGATTGTAAATTGAAAATAGTTTAGTGTTTGGATTTATTATAAGATTTTCTCACTAAGGAACCTGGGTGCTGGAGGATTGGTGACCTTTCAAATTCTTGCAGCCATTCAAATGTCTTCATGCTTTTTTGGTCATCTCAGAAACTTAAAGGCAATCAATCACTGACAGGGTCTTCTGACCAGTAATTTGCCATCCTGAACCAGCCAGTATATAGGTGACCATGGCTCTCCACAAATTGCTGTCTTTGTTGCTAAAGTAACTCTTTACAATCTCTTTTTGTCCTTTGTTCTGTCATCCATTGACACAAATTCATTAAGTAGGTTACTTACTCCCCTGCTTCACTTGCCTTCATGAGTATTAAATTCTCTTAGCCTGCTTCACTTGCCTCCATGAGTATTAAATTCTCTTAGCCTTCTTTCCTCATTATGCATCCTTGTTGAGAATCTCAAGATATATTACAGGAACTCCAGATCAGATCTATGCAGCAATATTCAATGCATGAATGTTAGATTTACAAATGTGCAAGATGGATTCTGGCAAGAAAAATTGTCTGACATGACACAGTGAACCAATTTGCATAGCAGCTGACCTAGCAAGTGATTCAATATAATCACTGCATTTCATGTCAGTGAAAAATGTCAGTCCAAGAAGGGGGAAGGAGTTTCTTTCCTGGTGGTTAGCATCAGCCATGCTAAAGGAGGGCAAAAAATGGTTTTCTGTGACAATTAAAGGGTACCAGTTTTGGTTTTGGAGGTTTTAAATTTGCATGTCATTTCTTGCCCCATTTAACTTAACAACTGAGAGGAGGTCATTTTTGAGAGCAGCTGACAGTTCTACATTGTTGGACTTCATATTAAGATAATAGTTTGTCATCAGTATAAATACTAGGTGGGGAAATGAGGACCTTGGAAATGTCATTCATGAAAATTAGGAACAAAGTAGGGTCATGTGTAGGACCTTGGGAGGAAAGGATCTAAAAGCACGAGTGTTCCCTTGGGAGACCCAATGTATAGATAGGAAAGGATCTAAAAGCACGAGTGTTCCCTTGGGAGACCCAATGTATAGATAGGAAAGGATCTAAAAGCACGAGTGTTCCCTTGGGAGACCCAATGTATAGATAGGAAAGGATCTAAAAGCACGAGTGTTCCCTTGGGAGACCCAGTGTATAGATAGGAAAGGATCTAAAAGCATGAGTGTTCAACATGACCTTCATTACCCAATTTATTAAGAACAATTGCATTAAGTCAAATATTATACCAGAGACACGGTAGCCATTGCGCTTTTGAAGAAGGCCAGCTAGTTTGTCATAACTTCAACCTGGGAAATACTTTTATTGTGGAAACTGTCTTATTTGCCATCAAATATGGTATATTAATGCTTAAAAATGTGTACAATTTTAAAAAAAGAATATACAAGGGCGGGTACTGAAATGTTTTCAGTCCAATCTGCTTCCCAAAATCTGACCAAATATCAGATACCGTATTTTGCTGCTTATAGGATGCTCCTGCATTAGACACCCATCACAATCGTGAGGGGGTGTGGGTCCTTTTTTTTCTTGTACTTCGTAGCCCTCTTCACTATCCCCAATTTTACAACCTGAATTTCATATTTCAGTATGAAAACCTGACTAATCATGTCAAATTTATCACAGGCTGAGAAGTCCCAAATTTATGGTAACTATTTAGAATGTAATAATTAGACGATAAGTTAACTGCTATCACTGAGCTTTGATTTATAGGACACTGAGTGTTTGTTTTTTTTTTGTTTTTGAGATATTTTATAGGGAAAATATGTGTCTTCTTTCTTAGAAACGACTTAACATCTCCTGTGGCTTTATTTATCTCGAGTTTTAGAAATTGCACTTATTGTACTAAATTACTGTATTTAATTGAACCCTGTGTTGTATATTTGAAGCAACTGTTTAACCCATATCCTCCTGGTATCAGTTTAAACTGACACTTTCTTCTTTTCCATCTATTGTGACCATTTTACTTAAGATTTATATTTTCTTGATTTCAGATGAAGATTTGGAAAATTTCCATCATATTTTAGTAAAAATTACACTTTTCAGTTTAATTATATAGATAAAAGAATGTATTGTGATATTTGTGGGGAGTGGGGGAGAAAATGACATATATATATATATATATATATATATACAATATATACAAATGACATATGAACATATAAAGACTCTGTACTCGAAAACTGCCAATATGTCATGATGAATATCATTGAACAAGCTCTTACTAATCTGCAAAAAAAAAAAAAAATTCTTTGATAATTGCTTATGAAAACAAGAAATTGGGTTATTTATATTTAAACTCTGCCTGAAACCAGGAAAATGTTTAACTGAAGAGAATATAAATAAAATAAATCCATAGACAAGGAACTTTCATTGAAATTGTTGCCTAAGTACTCTCCATATAAATTTATTATAGAAAATATATGACCTCTCAATTATTGAAATATTTTTTTCTAATAATGCCTGGTGCACACAAATTTTATTTTCAACATCTTTGAAATCACACTAATTCACTTTTTTGTTTTATTTAAATTCTCATTTGATTAATGAATTGTTGGATTGACTGGAAAATATTTTTGAACAAGAAAGCTGTTTGTATTCACACCTATCTATTTACAACCTGAGGAAGACTTACATGTCTAACCTACTTCTTTCTAAAACTCTTCTACCAAATGACATGATTAGTTAGGATTGAAATTTTGACTATATTGATTCCATTTTCTGAACTATCAGAATGAATTCTCTTCTGCTTTTGAAGTGTTATGGCTTTTGATCTAACCTGATGATGAGCTGCAAATTCACTGACATCGGAAGATAATGGATTAATGATATCAGTGAAGATGACGGCATTCAGTTTCAACAATATAATAAATCTTATTGACTTTTATTTTTACATGTAGAGATCAAAACCGAAAAAACAAGGAACCAATCTCTGCTCACAGATTTTTTCCTGGGGATGGAAGATTGCTGTTATAGTTCTTGTTGCACCACCATTTCTAAACTATGCATCTCTGAAAAATGAAGAAATCCACTTGCAACCAGAAGGTAAGTAAAATTATCTTTTTATAAAAGTTATTTTTGTGCAGATGAGATTGATCTGATTGAAGGTAAAGATTTTGGCTTATTAAACAAATAATAGCAACACAAAGATATTGGATCAGTGACTTTTCAACTAGTATGCCACAATAGAATCATAGGTGTTCCACAAAATTTTTAAGTGTCATTGATTAAATTATTTTTGTAAGAAATCAAAAGCACCAAAAGTGTACATGACAAAATTAAAAACCCCTTTAAATTGGTTATACAATTATATCCTTGTCATAATAAACATATACATATTATATCATTGTCATAATAAACATATATATATTATTAAATATTAAATCATAATAAACAGAAAAATAAAAACTTTTTTAAAGAATTTTAGTTTTTATTATAAATTATAATAAATTGTTTTGTTTGTGTTAATAAATAAATCATAAGTATATTCTTTGTTTTGATTATCATAATTTAAGTGTGCCATGAAAGTTTAACTATTGGTTCAAGTATGAGGTGAGATAAAAAGGTTTAAAAACATTGTATTAGATGTTTGAATATAGCCTTTTTATTTGCTCTTCCTTTTCAGGAAGTTTATAAAGGTTTTCTTTTGTAATAATGTGTGCATATTGTTACAGCAAATTACTTTATATACTTTCTGCACTTCTTTTTTTTTTACTATTGTTCACCCAATAATACAAGGCTCAAGAGTCACTCAAGATAGAAGGTTACTAAATGGGGATTTTGTAAGGGTATACTGGAAGGGAGTAAGCATTATGAGGATATGTAGATAAGTGCTAGTTAGTTTATAACAGGTGTGGCCAAATTTGCTTAATGTAAGGGCCACATATGATAAAATTCAGATGTTTGAGAGCCGCAAGGCAGGAACAAAATTTACACATACATTTTTGTTACATACACATTAACATTAAACTTTTGTTTTAATCAATGTAGGAGAAAAGTGCAAAGCTTTTCTCTTTCCTTATAACAAAGTGCAATGTAAAATAACTAATTGAAAAGCTTATTGAACCTGAATTTAACTTGAGGAAATCCAGTAAAATTGAGTAGAATAGGCAAATCTTTGCCCATGATAGGTATGGGTTTTAACATGTGGTTGATTCCAAAGAGGAAAATTCCTTAGTGAAATTACATTGACTTTAAGGAAATCTTTATTTTAAAAAATAAAAAAAAATAAAAAAATTTTAGGAGGGGAATTTTCAAACCCAGAAACTATTTGAGAAAACCATGTTTTGGGGAGGCATTTGGGAACAAAGAAAACCTTACAAAAAAGGAAATTAATGATTTGACTTCACTGATCTATCATCTGTTTAAGTTGATGTATCTAAATCCATAAAAAGCAGCCATTTTGAATTACAAGATAGGTAGTGATTTGATTTGAAGAGAATAAAGATGCCAGTTTTAAGCTGGTGGAAAAAAGTTGTAACCAGATTCCCCATTCATGTAACTGGACAAGAGAGTGTTGCAACCAGATTTCCCATTCACATTGCTAGACAAGGGATTTACACACACACAGATCGGTTTTCTCTCCCCACTTTCTTCCATAGTACAAGTAATAAAACTGCTACAAATGCAACCACTTGACCAAGCCAACCCAATATTGGGAAGGAAAAAAAATTCAAATCATAGTTTATAGAAAAGACTAATAAAGATGGACTTAAACAAATATGCTTTTTGGTAAAAGTTTCAATAAATTTAGAGCATGTATACTTTTAAATTTTTTATCTTTTTCTCTGCTAAGCCTTTTCAGGTTGCAGATGATCACGGCTCTCCAGATAATTGATAAATAATAATTGTAAACTATGCATTCTTTTAGATCTCCTTCACATTCTGGTATTACTCTATTTCAGGTCAGATGTATGATATAGGATGGGGTCAGAGGTTATTTATGATGTGCAGAGGTGAAGGTCCTCCAACTGGTGAGTAGATTTATAATGTCTTTCATTAAATGCCTGGTATCTAAAAAATAATTTCTGATTAAGGATAAACAAAGTTATAACACTTCTCGATTAATTTTCTGTATTGTGTTTGTTTTAATTTTATTCCTTTTTTTTGTCTTTGCTTTATTTCACCCTTTACTGGCAACTTGTTTGACAAGGTGAGTGATAAAGTTTATATAGCAATACTTAATTGCGGCAATAGGGCCTCAAATGACAGATTGCCACAACACTTCAAATGAATTCTATTCACAAAAATGATGATTTATTCCTATTTGGTTTACTATGGAAATTTAGTTGAATGAAATTTGTTCTGTTACAACCTGCAGAAGGAGAATAGAGAGAAATGTGACTCGTTCACCTACGAGGTGGGGGGTATGAGTCATCTCTGTTTTTCAGTACCAATTGTAATGATGAATGCATCATCCTAACTGATTATAATACACAGCAGTTACTAATAAATTTGGAGTACATTAACCTATAACAGTGTTCAATGTAAAAGGCAGTTGATTGACAAGGATAAATCTCTATAACTGGTACTGAAACCTGTTTGCTTTTTTTATGGCTTATCAACCCTTTGTGGGTTATTTAAAGCTGAAACATATTTTGAATTATAGGAGGTTGCTTCCCAGTGTTCCCAAGTGGTCCTCTATCTAAGTACTGAGTGGGCTTGACATTGCTTAACACTTGTGATTAGATGAGTGTGAGTTGACTGTAAGCCCCCAAAGCCCAAGCTTTATGGAAGGATAATGTTGTTTGTACAGTAGGATTATTAGGGTATTATTTATTTAGAGTTCTTAAAACTTAACAGGACACTAAATGTACATGTATTCCTTGTGGGAAATGAAATAAAACCAATAAATAAAATAATAATAATAATAATAATAGAAAAAATAAATAAATTCATTTTCCTATGATGCAAGATAGAAAAAAAACGGAAAGGGTTTCTGGTCGCATGTGTGATTTTATGACCCCACTTCCAGAAAGAAAAGAATCTTTCTCTTTCTTCTCTTGGCTTCAAGATGTGAACCACGCAGTAATAGCATTCCCATGGGAAAATGTTAGTTTCCCTGGTTCACTGATGACTGAACTGTTTCCACTTTCCAAACAGATGTCTTTTCAACAGCCCTACTCATGAAGTAGAGATTCAGCTGTTCAAACTCAGCACAAGGCTGACTTGAGCTTTACCATCTTTACCCATTTTATCCTTACTTTCCATAAATAATTTCTGAATCAAAAAGGAAAACAGCTATACTCAAGAGACCTTTAACTTTGTTTCAATACAGTTGGCATAAAAGAAATAAACGTCCGTAGCAGAAACTCAAGTTTTTTTTTTTTTTTTGTATGCTTCTTCTATCTTCGTTGTTTATATATTGAACACACACATTCACCTTAAAAATGCACACAAAACCCACAAACTTATTAACATCCACAACTGCCAGTAGGTGTAATATGTTCATAAGTTTGGTCAAAAAGTATCCTATACTCTCCAATGAGAAATATGTTGTTCTCCTACATGATAATGTGAGGCCACAAAGGGCAAGAAAAACTTTGGAACAGGGCTGGTCTGTTCTTGTTCATCTGACCTTGCACCAACTGATTATTGCCTTTTTTTTTTTTTTCTTTTTTTATCACTGCAAAACACTTTGATGGGGAAAAATATGTCTAAGGAAAGTCAAATCCAAAAATCTAAAAAAATTTATTGAAACCTGTAGAATTTTACTCAATTGGGTTCAAAGCATTGCCTGATGCTCAATTTGATCTGGCGTGCTGCCTGATGCTCAATTGGGATCGGAGGGTTACCTGATGCTCAATTGGGATCGGAGGGCTACCTGATGCTCAGTTGGGATCGGAGGGCTACCTGATGCTCAGTTGGGATCGGAGGGTTGCCTGATGCTCAATCAGGGGATGCCTGATGATTATGGTGAAAATATCATTGAATAAAATGTAATTATACTTCATTTTTTTGAAGGATAAAATTGCCAAACAAAATTCAAAATTATTTATAATTCAAACTAATATTTCAGGAACCTTATTTTTACACCTTATGTTTGTAAGAAAAGAAATTGTCTTTATCCTCTCACAGTAATGCTGCTTCTCTTCAAACATTTCAAACCATTGTAAAAATGCACAAAGCCATATATACATCATATAAAACAGTTCCATTTTTGTTTTTTTAAATTTCAGTGATATTAGATGCACCGACTGGAATGTCATCAGATGTTTGGACCCTTGTGTGGCCCAAAATATCTAATGTGACACGGGTAAGTTTCTACTCTTTTTTTTCTTCTTAGTTTCATTTAAAATGTAATAAAATCATGAATCAATCAGATACTGATATCAGCATTATCAAGCTAACTCTGTGATACAATTTATAATCACCCATCAGAACAGAGTAGACAAATTGTAGAACAAAATGGTTGCTGGTATAAACCTAAAATATTAGAGAGAGACCCTTGGTGTTACTTACCATTTACCCATACCAGTAAGTGCAATGGTGATCATTTCTGCTTATCAATTAAAAAATTACTCTTTGTCATTTCATTTAATTATCATACGAATTGCAGGTTACTTTCAAATTGATTTTTTTTTTTTTTTCTTTTTTATTTTCTTTATACAATTTAATTGTTAAGAGATTCAAATTTTTGGTACCAACAATACAAAATCAGATGTTATTATTCAAGTCAATATTTTTAGAATAATATTGGCATAAACCAACCAATGTTGGTAGCATTTACAGGATATACTTGAATCCGCAATATATTATGTTAGTTCCAGTTTATAATATCTATCCCTGTTAAAAATATTAATTTATTTTATGAGTCTCAAGCTTGATTATGCAAATATACTAAATACAACATAAATCTTTATTAATAAAGAAAAAAAATATAAACTACAGAACCATAATATTTGGTAAACACATTATCCTATAAACCTGAATATATTATTATTTTATTATATGTTCTTGTGGGCTCCTTGACATTCTGTAACCTTTATCAGTCTTTCATCCATTGTTTTTGTTAACTTTCTGTTTCAACTTTTATGTTACTTGCAACAATTTTTCCCTGCTTCCCAGAGATCTTTGCTTGAATAATGTTTCCCATACTTATACACAATGCTTTGAATGGTCAGCCACATTATTATTTATTTATTAAATATAATGAAACTAATAAAGTTCAATCTGTTTTTGCATTTGGAAGATGAGGAATCAGTGAATTTCAATTAATATGGGTTTCTTTTTAAGCCATACTTACATATAATTGAGGATATTTTTTAATTATTTTTAGGCACTAAATTGAATCTTTTATTTAACACAAGGTTAATTTACATAGCTTCTTGTACATACATAATAGGTGTTGTGTCGGAAACCTACCACCCCTCTTGAAGATGAACTTGTCTGCGTCTGCGAACAAAGACTTTAAATAGTGGCATGTCAGTTGACATGGGGGAAGACAGATAGACAGAGAAGTTCTTAGCTGAGCTAGTTATTGACTACTCAGGCGATTTCTTACCTTTTTACCAACCTATTAAAACCCTTTTTATTGTTACGTGTTATTTGGCGTTTGTCTCTACTAACCCCAAATCAACATCATAACAATAGGATTAACTTTTTAATTATTCAACCATAGAATTAATAATGCCTTTTTTTTTATTAAAATTATTTTAAATTACTAGTGGCTTTTTCTCCCCTTTTCTTCTCACTCTGTTCCCTTTTCTTCTCTTTTTGTTCCCTTTTCTTTTTTTTCTTTTGTTCCTTTTCTTCTCTTTTCTGTTCCCTTTTTCTTTTCTTTTTGTTCCTTTTCTTTTCCCTTTTTTTTTTTTTTTTTTTTTTCCCTTTTCCCTTTTTCTTTTCTTTTTGTTCCCTTTTCTTTTCTTTTTGTTCCCTTTTTTTGTTCCCTTTTCTTCTCTTTTTGTTCTTTTTCTTCTCACTCTGTTCCCTTTTCTTCTCACTCTGTTCCCTTTCTTTTCTTTTTGTTCCCTTTTCTTTTCTTTTTGTTCTTTTTCTCTTTTCCCTTTTGTTTCCCTTTTCTTTTTCTTCCTTTTGTTCCTTTTCTTTTCTTTTCCCTTTTCTTTTCTTTTTTGTTCCCTTTTCTTTTCCTTTTCTTCTCACTGTTTCCTTTCTTTCTTTTTCCCTTTTCTTTTTTTTTTGTTCCTTTTTCCCTTTTGTTCCCTTTTCTTTTCTTTTTGTTCTTTTCTTCTCTTTTTGTTCTTTTTCTTCTCACTCTGTTCCCTTTCTTTTCTTTTTGTTCCCTTTTCTTTTCTTTTTGTTCTTTTTCTTCTCACTCTGTTCCCTTTTCTTTTCTTTTTGTTCCCTTTTCTTTTCTTTTTGTTCCCTTTTCTTCTCTTTTTGTTCTTTTTCTTCTCACTGTGTTTCCTTTCTTTTCTTTTTGTTCCCTTTTCTTTTCTTTTTGTTCCCTTTTCTTTTCTTTTTGTTCCCTTTTCTTCTCCTTTTCCCTTTTTTTCTTTTTTTTTCCTTTTTTTTTGTTCCCTTTTCTTCTCACTCTGTTCCCTTTTTTCTTTTTGTTCCCTTTTCTTCTCTTTTTTTTTTTTTCCTTTTCTTTTTTCTTTTCTTTTTTTTTTTCTTTTCTTTTTCTTCTTCTCCTTTTCTGTTCCCTTTTCTTCTCACTCTGTTCCCTTTCTTTTCTTTTTTTGTTCCTTTTCTTCTCTTTTTGTTCTTTTCTTCTCCTTCCTTTTCTTCCTTTTTTGTTCTTTTCTTTTGTTCCCTTTTCTTTTCTTTTTGTCTTCCTTTTCTTTTTTTTTTTTCTTTTCTTTTTTTCCTTTTGTTTTTTTCTTCTCACTTTTTTTTCTTTCCTCCCTTTTCTTTTCTTTTTGTTCCCTTTTCTTTTCTTTTTTGTTCCTTTTTTCTTTTTCTCCTTTTGTTCTTTTTTTTTCTCCCTTTTCTTCTTTTTGTTTTTTTTCTTCACTCTGTTCCCTTTTCTTTTCTTTTTTTGTTCCCTTTTCCTTTTCTTTTGTTCTTTTTTTTCTTCTGTTTCCTTTTCTTTTTTGTTCCCTTTTCTTTTTTTTTGTTTCCTTTTCTTCTCTTTTCTTTCTTTTTCTTTTTCTCACTCTGTTCCCTTTTCTTTTCTTTTTTGTTTTTTCTTTTCTTTTTTTTTTTTTTCTCCCTTTTCTTTTTCTTCTCACTCTGTTCCTTTTTTTTTTTTTTGTTCCCTTTTTTTCTTTTTCTTCTCACTCTGTTTCCTTTTCTTTTCTTTTGTTCCCTTTTCTTTTCTTTTTTGTTCCTTTTCTTTTTTTTTGTTCCTTTCTTTTCCTTTTGTTCCTTTTGTTCCCTTTTCTTTTCTTTTTGTTCTTTTTCTTCTCACTCTGTTCCCTTTTCTTCTCACTCTGTTCCCTTTCTTTTCTTTTTGTTCCCTTTTCTTTTCTTTTTGTTCTTTTTCCTCACTTTTTTTCTTTTCTTTTTTTGTTCCCTTTTCTTCTTTTTTTGTTCTTTTCTTCTCTTTTCTTTTTTTGTTCCCTTTTTTTTCTTCTCCTCTTCTCTTTTTTTCTTTCTTTTCTTTTGTTTCCCTTTTTTTCTTTTTTTGTTTCTTTTTGTTCCTTTTTCTTTTTGTTCCTTTTCTTTTTTGTTCTTTTTCTCTGTTCCCTTTTTTTCTTTTCCCTTTTTTTTTCTTTTTTGTTCCCTTTTCTTTTCTTTTTTTTCCTTTTTCTTTTTTTTTGTTCTTTTGTTCTTTTCTTCTCACTCTTTCCCTTTCTTTTTCTTTTTTGTTCCCTTTTCTTTTCTTTTTTTGTTCTTTTCTTCTCACTTTTTTTTTTTTTTGTTTTTCTTTTTTTTGTTCTTTTTCTTCTCACTCCCTTTTCTTTTCTTTTTGTTCCCTTTTCTTTTCTTTTTTTTCTTCTCACCTTTTCTTTTCTTTTTGTTTTGTTCCCTTTTCTTTTCTTTTTTTTCCTTTTCTTTTTGTTCTTTTCTTTTCTTTTTTCCCTTTTCCTTTTTTTCTCTTTTTTTCTTCTTTTCCTTTCTTTTCTTTTGTTCCTTTTCTTTTCTTTTTGTTCCTTTTCTTTTCTTTTGTTCCCTTTTTTTTTTCCCTTTTCTTCTCTTTTTGTTCCTTTTTTCTTTTTTGTTCTTTTTTCTTCTTTGTTCTTTTTCTTCCTTTTCTTTTCTTTTTTTTTTTCCTTTTTCTTCTTTTTTTTTTGTTCTTTTTTTCTTCTTTTTCTTTTTTTTTGTTCCCTTTTCTTTCTTTTTCTTCTCACTTTTTGTTCCCTTTTCTTTTCTTTTTGTTCCCTTTTCTTCTCTTTTTGTTCTTTTTCTTCTCACTCTGTTCCCTTTCTTTTCTTTTTGTTCCCTTTTCTTTTCTTTTTGTTCCCTTTTCTTCTCACTCTGTTCCTTTTCTTCATTTTTATTCTTTCTATAAAACTTTTATGACTAAGGTAGACTCTCTTACTAGAAGCAAGGATTCATTTTGAATCTGTGACGGGGGACACAGAAATCAGCTATTAATTTTTCCTCCTCCAATGTATTTATTAGTTTTTAGTGTCTTACGATTTTTCTCAAGTTCAAAATCTTTTTTCTTTCTCGTTTTTAACCTTATAACTGCACTTATTACAAACTAGCTTGAATGCTGCCCAATAGTACAGTTTTTAAGCTAGCTACTGGGGGTGGGGGGTTCTCTTGATTTGGCCTTCGTCACAATAGGTAAGGAGGAGTAGATGCGACAAGCAACAATAAATTACAGAAGAACTCAAAATTGATCGCTGCATTTAAGTATTGCATTAATATTTAAACTTACCTTTTAAAAGTTCAATGATAATTCTTCTGCTGCCAGTTAATTTAAAGACAATATGATGTATTTAGGTCCTTACTTTCCATACAAACAATTATTTTTATTTCATGGATGACTTTCGCTGGATTTCGCAATTAATTTCACTTATTCCAAAATTTATTTACAAGTTATAAAAATTGTTAAAGTACAAAAAAGATTGTTGCAAAAATCAACAAAAACAATTGCAGTAATGAAAATTTGTTCATCCAAAAGTTCAGGATTGCAGGTCTGGATTCAGTGTGGAATGTTTTTCATTTGCTCACAGAGTCGGTCTGATTCCAAAATGGGATGGTATGTTGGGCTACAGCCTCTAGGAGCAAAGTTGAAAAAGTGTGACACACTGACATTTGCATTTATTATGTAGAAGAATGTATATTTTTATGCCAAAAAAGTATATTTAACAACCCTTCTGTGATATCATGGATGATATTATTTATTGAATATCATCGCAAATGAGAAAAATCTAATCTAGTTCTTGGTGCTAATGTTTAATATGTATATTGATTTGTAGATAAAAGAAAAAAAAACTGGATTATTTTTGTCAATTTATACTTGATTAAAAATTACTCAGAAACTGTTAACCTGATTGTTTTATTTTTTGAGCTTGGTGAAGTACTATTAAGATGCTCTTATAAAAATTGTACTCTGATGTGCCATTTTTGCTGTAATACAATAAGCACACAAAGATACAGAAATCTGATCATATTATATTGATAATTGTTACTTGTAAATATAGCTGTGGATGTTTGTAAGTTTTCACAAATTGATTCAAATAGCAAATGAAGCCGTGTAATTTTTTGAGCTAGAAATAATCAGAATATCTGTCAGAGATAAACGACATGACTTGTTGCTCACTTAATACCTTTTGGTATATGATTATGTTCCCAGAATAAATATTGGGGATATTTTTTTGTTTTGCTTTTACTTTTCTATGTCCATTTGTTGATAGGCATCTTCTGTATTTTCTGATATAGAAAGTGAAATAGGATTTATTTTAAATATTGTTTGCTTTCTATACAGGCCCAATGAATATCATAAAAGAACATTTTGTACTGACATGACCATATTTATTTTTCTAATTTTCATTTTTATTTATCTTTTTTAAAAAACTTACCTTGAATAAATAAATGATTTGACTCTAAAGCATTCTTCTTAGTTTCTGGTTCTCTTCATCAATGTACATTAACAGGAATTTTTCATCTTCATTCATTTTTCTGTTGCTTGATTTACAATTCATTTTGGTTTTGTTAACCTCGTTAATTTGTATAATCTGTTACCGTTGTGATTGTCAAATGATGATGATGATTGAATGGCCATCATTTTATTGTTTGACTGTTGGATGTTCAAAAAAAACAAAATTCTCTTGATAGTTTATAGATTTTTTTTTTTTGCTTTATTACAAGAAAAATTTGCAGACAAAAAATCTACTAATATAAAGGGTATATTATATAGATAGATGCATGCACACACACACACACACGCGCACACACACACACGCACACACACGCGCACACACACACACACACACACACACACACAGCTAAATAATCATTTTATGCTGGGAAAAACCTTCTTAAATTTTCTTTTTTTTTTTTTTTTTTTTATTTCATTTCAGGTCTGTATCTATGATCGTGCAGGTTTAGGATACAGTGATCGTCCAAAAGAGGTATATTGATACTTTTCTTGAATCTTTTAACTATTTCCAGAAATATCTGCTCAAAACATATAATTGGGGGTTTATAAGTTGCTTTTAGGAATTTAGAGACATTGTGTGTTTTTTTTCTTTTTTTCTTTTTTTTTAATATTCTTTTCATTACTAGAAGATCAGCATAAAAATTTTCAAACTATCATCACAATAAATTCATATATTTGTAAAATCCATGGTTAATGAAAGTGACTGATTTTATTAAAAATCTGTAAATAAAAACAGACAAAAGTGACAAATGCCCTTCAATAAAAATGAGATAAGTAGTGATGAAAAGAATATTCAAATAAATATACTGAAGAGGTGGAAAAATATATATATATATGTATATATAAATAAAAAGAAAGAACAGTAAGATATATAATCCGGTTTCTTATAGATACTTTTATTTTTACAAAATAGTGCTCAGTGTAAATTTACAGAGCATTAATATTATAAATTGATTTATTTAAAATAAAAATTCGCTTGAGGATGAAATGGAACTAATGTCTTTAATTTAATTACAAAATTAAATTCATAGCTTTTAGTTTCCATTTTTGAAACATGGTTAGAACTGTGTAGCAAAAAAAAACCTATTTTAAATAAATCAATTTATAATATATATAAAATGTAAGTAAAACTTTGTCACTTAGCTGATTGATGTTACCTTATTTATTTATCACTTTAAACATTATTTGGGGTGGATACTCATATTTGAGTAGCCACTTGGTTTATTCATTTTTGTCTATTGACCTGAATATTTAAGAAATTTTATTAAACAAAAATTTGCATTCTCTGGCAGAGTTTAAACCTGTGTCCCCCAGGGCAGATTGAGCTACTGTTTGGCCTCGCATGCTCTAACCGACTAAGCTATGAAAAACATTTAGTCAGGCAAATCATCATAAAATCTCCTAAAATTTTTCATATCCAAATGGAAACAAAGAGATTTTTAGAATAGTTTTTTTTTTTTTATTATGCCAATATTACATTTCTTCATCATAGCCCATAGTGCTTCATGTCAGATGTTTTCAAACACCTTTTTGAAGTCAATGAATATGTGGTTGATGTCTTGCTGATGTTGACTGTATTTTTCACACAGCAGATGGAGGTTGAAAATTTGCTCCATTGTGCTCCTTGTGTCATTTGAATCCAGTTTGTTTTTCAGCAATTATTTCTTTTATCTGCAGTCTTAATCTGTTTAGGATGACTTTTAGCATAACATTGCTTGCATGACTGATAAGGTTTATCGTTCTGTAATTTTGACATAGTTGTAAGTTACCTTTTTTGGAGGGGAGAATAATGGTGAGAGATTGTATCCTATTCACCAGTTTGCCAGATCCTATTGCAGTTGATTGTGAGAATATTGATCACAGGCCATTGTGAGTAAATATAATGATAATGAATTTTTAATTATTCCAATAAATAAACTGATTGAATTACTTTGAATTGTCCTTGAACAATATTTTCAAATATTTCAGAATTTTACTGCAAATGATGGTGTTGAAGGGAAATCAAATTACCGTAACCGTTGGCAGCCATTTACAGTGGAAAGGTAAGTTTTTGTTGTTGTTTTTGTTGTTCATGCTGATTTTTAGTCATTCATGTTCCAACATGTTAGAACATGTCAAATTTATCAACAGATATATTATGCTTACATTTCCAATTTGAGCACACTACAAACTCTCTCTTAAGAAAGAAAGAACATTTAAAATTACTTAATTTGTGTCAATTTTACATTCCTATGAAAATGAAGAGTATAAAGTGCATTTTAGACACTTGATGCTTTTTTTTTTTTTTTTTTTTACCACAAAACCAAAAATGCCTCGCAAAAAAATAAAAGATATGTGCTGTTTATGGTGAAAGTGCTTCAGCTGACACAACTGTACAGAAGTGGTTCACTAAGTTTAGAGTTGGTGATTGTAGCCTTATTTATGAAGAATGCTCAGGCAGACCCCCTCAACTACAGATGATGACCAAACCAAAACATTGATTGAGAATAATCCACATTACACAACACAGGCAGACCCACTAAATTTATCAAGATCCACCATTCATCAGCACTTAGCGATTTGAGTACCCAAGCTTCACTATGATGTTTTCTTACCACATAATCTGAGTGAAAAGTATCTTTTAAATTGCATTTCATCTGTGATTTTCTGTATAAATGCAATGAAAATGCACTCTTTTTGAAGCAAATTGTGATGGGTGATGAGAAATGGATCATTTACAACAATGTTCAGTGAAAAAGATCCTGGGGTAAAAGACATAAGCCAAGTTTAGCCACCCCAAAAGTAGGTCTTCATCCTAAGAAAGACATGTTGTGCATCTGGTCGGATTGGAAAGGAATCCTGTATGATGAGCATCTGCTAAGTAACCAATCAATTGATTCTGAAAAGTACTGCTTGTAACTGGACGAATTAAAGGCAGCAATTCAAGAAAAATGCCCAGAATTGGCAAACAGGAATGGTGTTGTTTTCAATCAGTATAGTGCCAGACCTCATGTTTTTTTTGGCGACCCGGCAAAAATTGTTGCAATTTGGCTGGGATGTGTTACCCTACCTGCCATATTCGCTAGACATTGCTCTTTGGGATTTTCATTTATTCAGCTCCTTGCAAAAGAATCTCAATGGTAAAAAATTCATTTTTTGGATGAGATAAAAAACACCTTAATGAGTTCTTTGTCGTGAGACCACTGTAATTCTGTGAAGATGGAATTTTTAAATTGAAGGAAAAAATGGAGAAAGTTTGTATAACAAAATGGTTTATATTTAGTTGAATAAATATTTAATAGCATAATTTTGTTTGCTGTTTTAATTTCCCTTAAAAGTCAGCATGAACTTTCCACACAACCCAATACTTTCTATTCTCGTATAAATCTCTTTTAATGATAGACAACAATTTTTCTCTTAGATTAATATTTGTAGAGATTGCTTTGTGTGTCTGTGTGAAGGGGGCATTCCATTAATTTGGTATATCTGAAACCTTTTCAGCAAGGTGGGCAATAATCAGCTTTGCAGAATATGAAGGAGTATTTTCTTGCATGAATATACCCTTCAGCTTGGCTGTGAATTGAAATAAAAATGTCTTCAAGAACTTACAATAATTCTCTGCATTTATCTTTATTCATCAACTTTGAAGGAATCTAGAATTTTACAGCCTACAATACTAGTCCAAAATATGACTCCATTTCCCCGTTGTTGTCTTTTAAGCCATACTGGTTTACTATTTCCATGAAAGAGCTAACCTCGAGTCCAGCTCGGCTTACAGCCATATCACATTGAAACACCAGTTCTTGTATGATCACTGAAGTTAAGTAACATCAAGCCTGGTCAGTACCTAGATGGGTGACCACTTAGGAATACCAGGTGATGTAATGGATAACTGCTCGGAATTGGAAATAGATGAGCCAAGTTTCAATTCTAGTCATGTTTGTTATATTCACTTAGATGCAAATACCCTTTGGAAAGGTATGAATCCACCTCTTCTCTCTCCCCCAGCTATGGGTTAATCAGTAGGACTTGTATCAGCAAATCATTATTATCTCCTAAAAAAAATCCTAGAATCTAAAAATATTTTCTGGTTTTAAATAACCTGCAAAAGGTTGATAAGCTATAAAAAACAAATCAACCTAGCCTGGCTCTCAGGTCTGTCCAATATGGCTCTCCATTCATTACAAAAATTGAGAAATCAGTTTTCATGTATGTCTTTGTCAAACTTAGATGTTTTTCTTGTGATGTTTTCTTAAATGTGTGAGTTTGTTTCCTTTCATGTCTTTATCCAGTGTTGCTAATATTCTGCATCTTTTCTCTTTCTTTCCAATTATAACATGAGCTTCTTTAAATGTTTCCTTGCTTGTTAATCCACTTGCTTATTCATCTTTTAATTTTTCTCACATTTCTTTGGGAATCTTTTAAAGCTATTTTTCTTGTTCTTGCCAATGTTTTCAATTTGTTCATTTCTATGCTAGGCCTACTGAGCATGTTATTAGTCTAGTAGATGCCCTAATTCTTTCAATTGTTTTATCTTTCAATGTTGTACTGTTATTCATTAGACCTAAGACTCCAAAATCCCACCATTTAATTACTACAGGTAGTGTAAAGTTATAAATTCTAGTTCAATGGGAGAGACAAGTGACATCAGAAGGACAAATTAGCTTGGAAAAATGAACTGATTTGTGATTTCCTAAGCAGGGATGGTGAATAGAGAACACTCTACCCCACTGGATGGAATAAATGGTTTCATTCAAAATTCTTGCTTACTAGTTATGATTGACATCTGAAGAGGGCTGAAGAGTAAAGCAGCCAACATACTTTTTAGGATAACAATCAAAATGAGGACACCATAATCAGTTTATGACAAACCCTCATCTTAAAAATTCAGACAGAAATTATCAAGTTAAAGTGCTTTGTTATTTTTCTATTCAATTTTCAGTTAAAAAAATTAATGTTCACAAATTAAAATGTTAAGATGATTTAGTCATTTAATTGCAACAATATAAAATTTATGGAAACCTGCTTAAGTGTGGTTTTTAAGGAATTCCTTATAGTTTTTTGGGGTTTTTTTTTATCAAAATGTCTGTATTGATTTTTATCTCCACATTGAATGAAAAGAACATGATGTCCCACATTTATTGCTTGTGAAAAAAAAGTATTTGCTTAGCCATATGTAAGATGTTTTTTATAGATGTAAAATGCATGTAACAATAATGTTTCTGCATAGAAGCCCATTAAGGAAGAAATGTAAATTTTTTTATAAAAATATTATCACAATTTTTTTACGTTTTTTATTTTTTTATTTATTTATTTATTTTTTTTACATTTATGACATTTTCAAACTTGTCCAGTTTCCAAGGTGCTGAGATGATGATGTTGATTGTTGTTTTCAGCTTTGAGAAATTAATCAACACAAAAATATATTTTACAAATCCGTCAAACTTTTCAAGTATTACTTTGCATCTCTATCAAAATAAATCATTTCTGACAAGAAGTTTTTTGAGAATTCATGCCTAAAAGATTCATTTGTACATTGTTTAGTATTATTAATTGAATATTTTTTATAACAATTCTAACTAGATAAATTGTTGCTGTGTTCATTTTGACAAAAAGAAGGGGCAATGTTTAAATTAGGACCAAGAAAAAAAAGAAACGGGACGTTTTTCTTTTGACACTGCTATCAATGTATATTTCTGCTGTAATTTTTTTTATTGTCATAAAAAGCAATCTTTAGAATTTTAATAAAATTGTAACATATGAAATTTAATAGTCAACCTAACTCCCCTCCCCATTGACACTTTGAAAAATTAACACAAGAAGTAATTTAAGTTAGTTATACAAGGTGCAATGGATAAATTGTCATCTAAATTACACAAAAATGAAAACAACACTAACATTTCATTTTAACAGAGATATTTACCAAAATTACATAAAGATATCTTACAATACTAAAGAGTAAATTCAATAAAATCGCCATCGGCTTCAACCACAGCTTCTAGATGACTTCAGAATCTCCTTCACTCTTCTGGACAGCTTCCTTGTTTAAGTTAGAGAATGCTTCCATAATCCTTGCCTTCAGTTCAACTATGATGTTACAAGGAGTTTTGTTGCTCTCTTGCTCAACTGCACCGCACACTTAATAATCAAAAGAGTTGCAGTCTGGGGAGTTAGATGGCCAGATGTAAGAGGTGATGTGGTTACAGATTGTGTCTGACAGCCATGACTGGGTTCTCCTGCTTGTGTGGCATGGTGCAGAGTCCTGCTGCCAGACATAGGGTCTTCCAGTAGTCACCCTCTTGAACCACAAGGCACTTGATGTAGGCCTCCATGTTGAGTCTGAAGCACTGTAGGAAGATGAATGGGGAGCATAATATCAACATCACTAGTGATCGCTCCAAACATTTTTGTAATCATGATTACTCATCTAACTATTTCTGAATCCTTTGCATTATCCTCAGATCGACACCCAAACACTCTGAAATGTTTGTATTGGTGCTTCCAGCACAAATGCCAAGCAGTATAGCATGCCATTTTCAAATTCCTAGCAGCGTGAATTGCGTTATGAGACCAAACATGTGAACAACAACAAGGTTTTAGAGAAAATGTAAATAAAAAGGAAACTTATACTTAACATCAGGAAGAGACAGTTGAAATTTGTGGGGCACATGAGGAAGGAAAATCTGATACTCGCAGAATAGATTGAAGGCAAGAGGGACAGAGGAAAACAATGCATGACCTACCTTGCAAGCTTGAGAAGAGCAATGCCAAAGCAAGGTTTAGAAGAAATAACAGACAACTTTTATTAAGAGCTATAAAGGACAGGAAGTTGTGGAGGGCCCTAATCACCAATGTCCTGAATGGGCACAGCACGTAGAAGAAGAAGGAATCTGTCTCCTGTAGTCTTTGATCAAAATGTCAATGTTATTTTTAATGTTGTTTTTCCTGTTATATAATCTATCATCATTATCATTGTTATTATTATTAATTTATTAACAGATTGAATAATAAGTGGATACAAAAATTTAAATTTGTCTGCATACATTAAGGTAATGTATGTGTTAGTATTCCAGGGATTTTTTTTTTTGCGCATACCTTCATTTGAATTTTTCTGATTTAAGTTAATATTGCTGAATTACTTAAATTCATTAATATTTTCTATCGGTATTACATTAATCTTGCATTATAAGTAAGATATGTCTGACAAGTTGGGAACACTAACTAATTTGAAGTTTGCTGCTCATGAAGGATGTGTACAGTTTAATAGTTTAAATTTGCAATAGGTCAATTTACACTATTTACATTATTCAGACTATTGCCCTCATCTTTGTTGCAATATTTATCACAACGTTTTGGTTGTTGTACGCTCCAGCCTTCTTCAGGTGATTGGAATGTCAAACTGAACCCTTTATTTCACTCACTGAGGTAGACTGTTCCACATGGCATGTCTAATGGATGTCAGTTATCAGTTATCTCCTGTTAATTCACTTCTCCAAGTTCTCCACTGCCTTAACCAGGTATTGAACTCAGAACTCTTTGGGTCCTGTCACTGGATCTAACCAACGTCCTTATCCTTAAGGAAACATGGCACAGTGGATAATGGCATTGGTTAGATCCAGTGACAGGACCCAAAGAGTTCTGAGTTCAATACCTGATTAAGGCAGTGGAGAACTTGAAGAGGTGAATTAACAGAAGATAACTGATAACTGACATTAGACATGGCATGTGGAACTAGAACAGTCTACTCCAGTGAGTGAAATAAAGGGTTCAGTTCAACATTCCAAACACCTGAAGAAGGCCGGAGCATACAATGGCCTAAATGTGATAAGTATGGCAACAAAGGTGAGGACAATAGTCTGAATAATGTAAATAGTGTACATAATACCTCATCTCAGAAATATAGACAGATACAATAAGTTAATCTGTTTTAATTGCATGGAAATAGAATAAAATATCTGTAAGAATTGTGTACTTACAGTAGGTCTTTGGTTTTTCTCATTATTGATGCCATGATATCTATAAAAATGTTGATTAAAATTAAGTCAAAAATAAGGTAGCAATGATTTAATGAAAATTTGATTCCTTAACTGGATTAAACGTATTTTTTGATTATCTAATGGCAACATTAAAAGGTCCAGTGGGGTTAGAGAAAATAAGTTTGGGATACCTGAAGTAATGGATGAGCATAAACTGAATCCAAAAAACAGCCTCTTTGTATTGCCATAATACCTACTCACAGAATTCCACTTTGGGTCAAGTCTTACTACTGGATAGTGGGAGTACAGAACTTGAACATCACATAACCTTATCTTTGAGCCATGATGTTGATCAGTAACACCTCTACATCTTCTTTTCTTATGCCACTTTATTTCCTTGGGAACATAGCGCCACAAAAACACCTCTCCAACGGATGCGGTTCCGAGTGATCCTCTTCAGTTCAGCCCATGTTGTGCCAGCTGCTTTCACCTCTGTGTCAACTCTTCTGTTTTTGGTCGACCCACTTTTCACTTCCCTTGTGGATTCCGGTCAAGAGCCTGCCCGGTGACACTAGAAGCATGCTTGCGGTGTGTGTGGTCAATCCATCCTCATTTTTTTTTTCTTGATGTCAATCTTGATTGCGGTTTGTCTGGTATTGTTGGAGACGACTTCCAGCCACTTGATATTGAGGATGTTCCTGAGACATCATTTGGTAAATGTCTGCAGTTTGTGGGTGTTGGTCTTGGTTACCCACCAAGTTTCTGAGTCGTAAAGTAGGACTGACTTGACGTTGATATTGAAGAGCCAATACCTTAAATTTGCATATAACATTGGTTTTTATCAATAGCTATTTTGGGAGATGGGCCTTAGGTCACCAAATACTTTACCCACTTCCCTCAAATTCCCAATTAAGAATTTAATGCTTCAAAAAGACTTCAATAGGTTCTTTCTAAAGTCTACTTCAACTCAGTAGGAGTAGTGAGGTTTGCCTATTGTTCAGTTCACACTCTTCCCTGGTCTTTTGAACATGAATAAAGGTTCATCCCGTGTTAGAAGTATAGAGTTGAAGTATGCTTTAGAAGGAACCAGAAACAGGAAACAAGGGATGAACCTTTATTCATGTGTGTGGTCAATCCATCCCCATTTCTGTTTCTTGATGTCAATCTTGATTGCAGTTTGTCTGATCTCTGAAATTTTATTTACTAATTATTTTTTTCTTAAGAATATTAAGGTTTGCCTATTGTCCAGTTCACACTCCTCCCTGGTCTTTTGAACAAGAGTAAAGGTTTATCTCTTGTTTCCTGTTTAGGATTGGATTTTTGATTCATTCTAAAATCTTTTTTATTCCCTTTTACTCCTAGTAGCCTCTTGCATCTTAGTGGCATTAGCCAATATCACCTTGTTTGGGATGGATTCATTTTTAAAAGAAAATTACCAACTATTAAAATCTAAGCAGTTATTGAGCAAGTGTTGTTTGTTTTTTTTTTTTTTTTTTTTTTTTTTAGTGGGGGGACAGTTGTTTAGTGAAGAGTAACTCCTAAATATATCTTCTTTTTTCTTACCAGCTGACATCCAAGACTTTATTGGGAAATGGTAAAAGTGCAAAATCAGGTCATACCAATATTGATTGTTTCTCTCTTTCTTCTTCAAATGTTATCAACTCCTTTTTAGTCTCTCTTGCCACTCTATACTCTCAATATCATCACTCTCTAGTGACGTTATTGACATGCCTGATTCTGCAAATACGTGCCTGTAGATGTCAAGTTTTCTTTTCTTTTTCAGAATGGCTGATGACATGAGACATTTGCTGACACTTAGCAGTCAGCAGCCGAAACCTTTTATTTTGGTTGGTTCTGAACTCAGTGCTTTAGCTGCTTATTTCTATGCTCAAATGCATGAACAGTGAGTAACCTTTTTTTTTATCAAACCTGAAAAACCTTTTAGAAGGTACTTTTATTACTTGACATACTTTTTCCACCATTTATTTTAAAAAGGATTTTTTTTTTTTTGCCTTCATGTTTTTTCTTTCACTTTTTAATCAATTTATACCTATGTTTGTGCTTTCAATTTTGAAGGTTGTGTGTGTGTGTATGTATGTATGTGTATATATATATATAAGTGCGCAGGTATGCAGAAAATAGAAAAGAACACGTTAGGTGCATAATCCGGAGTTCCTTAGTATTTTTGTTTTTATTTTTAAGAAGACAGTGCTCTATACAGAAGTAGAGCTTTATTATAATAATATTTTTTTGTTTAAAAATATGATTCCTTCGCTACATAAGAGTTCTCATGTTTCAAAAACGAGAGCCGAAATCATCCAAATAATTATTCAAGCGGAAATTATATTCAAGCGAAATTTTAGGATTCCTAAAATTTCGCTTGAAAATGAAACAAGACTAAACACCTCAATTCAACTTAATTTTAATAATTATTTGGATGATTTCGGCTCTCATTTTTGAAACACGAGAACTCTTATGTAGCAAAGGAATCATATTTTAAACAAAAAATAATATATATATATATATATATATATATATATATATATATATATACACACATATATATATATATTATTTTAGGATATCACATTGAAAAAACATGTCAAAATCCCTACACAATTGTAGTTGTGTTTTGATACATATCAACACATCTCATCAGGCAATTGTCAATTACTCGGTAACTTATAATTGCATGATGAGATGCATTGATACGCAACAAAAACACAACTGCAATTGTGTAGTGATTTTGACGTTTTCAATATAATATCCTAAAATAAAGAATATTGCTCTATTTTGTATTGAGCCCTGTTTTAAATTAAATTTTACAAACATTGGAATTGTACTCTATTCATTCTCATCATGTCTGGATATATATATATATATATATATATATATATATATATATATATATTCAGTTGTATGGATATCTATACAACTGAATATGTTAGCTCTATTGCAGATATTGAGCACTTTTCACTAAGCACTACACATATAAAAATATATATCACTTTAAACGTTATTTTAATGGATACTTGTAGTTGAGTAGATGGTCTGTTTATTTATATATATATATATATATATATATATATATATATATATATATATATACACACACACACACACCTTTGAGCAGGTTTTGTTAACCATATGAAGTGCCATGTCTAGAATGGATAAGTGAGACTGCATTAAATTAACTAGCTTCACCTGTGCACATATTTAATGACAAATCATAGGCTGGCTTGAAAAGTTGTCTGCATTCACATGGCAGAAACATTCCAACCAGGAATAACACCAAAGCTGTATGCTGCATTTGCATATTTGTTGCCAAAACAATGCAGGCCTAGGAAGCTAAACAACAGCTAATATATGGAAATGGTTATGGTTGAAATTGGAATTGAGAAGACACACACACACACATATATATATATATATATATATATATATATATATATATATATATATATATATATAAAAAAAGGCTTAAACACTAATATTCCATGGTCATAATTTATTCCATTGGAATCATAAATACTATCCAATTCATCAGGCCTACAAATTCAAAAAGAAAACAGAAAAAACAACTCCGGAAATAAAAACAGAATTTAGAGAGAGTCTAGAGAAGGAGGGAGATTAAATCTTAACAGAGAGAATTTTAGGAGAGGTGAGTGGAAGGGGTTTAAGTAAGAGAAATATGAGTGTTGTTGGATGTCTAATGCATAAAGATACATTTCGTGGTGACATACACACACCATAGACAATCTAATGTTGAAGATCAGAATAAGAGGGAGGAAGAGGAAAGGAAAGAAGAGGTGGGGGAGAGAGATGGGGCGAAGGAGAGTAAAATTGATGGACATTTACTTAAAGGGCCGCTGTGTAATTGAGAAAATTAGACAAATTTAATATCGACTACAGGTTACAAATGAAATATAAACATATAAAAAATAAATATAACGATTATCTAATCTAGCAAGGACCTATATTTTTATGTTCAAAAACACATGCAAATACACACATACACAATAACATATACATGTATATACATACACATAGGCGTGTACCCACATACACACATACATATACCCATGTACACACATATAAATATATCCACATATCCACATAAATATACACATACACACACATACATATATATACATATACACAACTGGTTCAACATGTTAGCTCTATCTCTGATACTGAGCGCTTTTTAATAAGTACCACGCCTATAACATACAAATAATTACATCTATATACACAAGTTCTTTATTAAAATTGACTGATATGGTCTGTTTCATTTTTTTACTAGATTTTTCAAGTTTATGTTCAAGTTGTCACACATCTTGATTAAATTTATGAAAAAAAAACTGTCCAAAGTTCAGAATATTTTTCTTTAAGTATTTTGTGGCAATTATTGTTTTCTTAGCTGAAGCATTCAAAGATAACTCCCTGCACTACATTTAAACAAAGACACATGGTCATGTTGCCTAAAAGTGAAAAGTGATGTTAATGTCTGTTCCTCCCATTAATCCTAGTAGTTGTAAAATGTAGATTTGGAGAGAAAAACAAATCATGTGAGATGCAGTAAATAAGATGGAACCATTCCTTGTGTGTTACACTGAAAACAATAACAAGAGAGAAATGTACTTTATGTGTTTGGTGTATGAAATGTCTATACCTGAAATGTACAATAGTTTAAGTCTTTACAGTGGTGAACCAATAAAAAAAAAGTGGTGGGTGTTCAAGGCCTTTTGACTAATGTTCAAGAGAGACAAAAGAGGAAGAAAGGGCTTTGCTGCTTCATTTTATATGTGAGCAATTCTTATTGGAACTGTGGTAGTAATGTCTATTTTTGGCCACAGAGATGAGTGTGACATGTAAATGTCGGAGTTAGCTCCTAATTAATTCCCTAATTGTCACTAGGTGGTCATTCTCCCTATACTATAAATACTGGGTAACTTCTTGCCTCGTTCTCTTTGTCATGTTTTCATTTCAACGACTACAGTGTAAGCTCTCTTGGAAGATCCGTGTCTTCCCATTTGTAGAAGATGCCATGAACATTATACACACATACACGTACGTACAAACACTCACCAAAATACAAACTCTTTATGTCACACACACACACACACATATATATATATATATATATATATATATAGGTTTTATTTGTCTTCTTTACATCTTCTGTTGGACTTAATTCAACTCCAGTCATTTTCTTGTAGTTGGATCTTTTAATATTCTGCCAGAAGTTACACACGTTTCCAATTCAACAACACGCAAACACACACGGACCTCTACACAAATTTCCACTAGACTCCACAACTACTATCAATCATCTGTAGTCAGTGTCATGATTGTTACTGTTCTCAGTTGCAACAGAAAAAAGATTTTTATAAACTTCATGATAGCATTGTGTTTACTTTGCAAATATGCAAATGGAATGAGTATCTTTGATTTAGCAGTGAATGCATTTATGCTAAAATCAACCATATTCTTGATACTAAAGAACAAATATGTGATCAAAGCAGCAGATTAATTCTTATGGGGAAAATTGTTTCTATTTTTGAATGACTTCTTGGAACAAATGAAGTTCAAGAACTGAGTTACACTGTACAATGACATTTTTAGTCAGTCTCTGTATCCATAACATAACAATGAAATGCATGTATGTATGTTGTTTTTTTTATTAGGTCTTTAATTGTATCTATTAAGAGTGACAATTATTAATTTCACAGGGACATTGCCGGTCTTGTGATGATCAATCCAATATCAGATGACCTTTTTGAGAGCGAAGATCAACTTTGGTCTCAGTATTGGTAAGTGCTTTCTAATTTCTTTAACAAAGTCAGCAATTCTCTTGAGTTATAGTATGGGAATACTGTTCCAACCCATAACCTTATTACCTCCTTTCCAGGTTCTTCTTTATGTATCATGTCCCTTCAGGACATAGGCAGTCATGGCTCTCCACAATTTCCAACCCTTTGTAGCTCTTAATGAATTTTGTCTTTTCATTATTTCTCCTAAACCCTGTTCTGCCATCCATTTATTCAAGTTCACTAAATAGGTTATGCATTGTTTTCCTCTGTCCTCCTTGCCTTCAATCTGTACTGTGGGTATCAGATTTTCCAAGCCCTCCTTCCTCATTACATGCCCCAGAAATTTCAACTGCTTCTTCTTCTAAAACCTTGTTGATACTGATACTCACATGTTCAGTCCATGTTACCCTCAGCATCCTTCTGTAGAGTTACATTTCTGTTGCTTAGTCTCTTCTTCATCTTGGCAGAGATTGTCCAACATTCACTGCCATACATGAGGAGAGATATCTTGTAACAGTTCGGTACTCTTTTTTTTGTTTCTGACGAAAATTTTCTATGTCTTAAAACTCTGCTTAGCTTCTGGC